AAAAACCAGCAGGAAAGTTCTGTAATTGACTTTTTTCAAGCTTAATTGAGTTATGTATCATAGCTACTGTAATTAAACTAATAGAATATGTTGGATTTGAATTTGCATTTCCTTTCTACAGAGGTTTATTTAATCCTTTACATATGAACTCTTCAGAAGTGTCCTGAAATTGCTCAAAATTGTCGTGTCAATGGAAGTACCACACGTGGCACACAAGGGCTGAAATAGTTCCAGATCCCTCCTCTGTGTCCACCCACTTCTTCAACAAAGATGAGCATCATTTTGGCTGATGCGTTGGCAACAAGAACCTACAGCTGATTAAAATTCTTCACATGGTGAAATACCTAAAGGAGAAATGAGATGTGGCAGGATCTGCTTGTTGATGGTTATCTTTGTGTTTGGGAGCATTTTTGTGCTTCCTACAGAGCAAATTATGATTTTTGGTGGGGGAAATACAGGCAAAACTTCTCTCTCTTTATTCCCGTATTCACCATCAAGGATATTTCCACTTGTCTGCCAGAAAATAAAAAATAAAAAAAAAAAAAAAGGAAAAAAGAGGTTCTCTTTCTGCCTCCCAGCATCATTACTGTATCTTTTCTCACTGGTAGTATTTAGTATTTTTCCTGCACTGTTTAAATACTTCCTTTATTTTATTAATACCTATCAGACTTTTCTTGCAGAGTAGAAGAAATTTAACTGCAAAATCTTACCCTGAATATTGTGACCTGTTTTCTCCTGGGCCCTGATCCTGCAAGGACCATAGCTAAAACCTTTAAAAATTCAGTGAGGAGGGTTTGGACCCGCACCTGGCTCACCAAGGAGAGGTGACGTAAGCAAAGCCATAGGAAGGGAAGAAGACTGGCAGAGGAAATCTCCGGACACATAACCTGTTTCAGATTTTTTTCCAGTCTCTCCATCACTGTTTTTAAAGGACTGGGCATATGCTTTTCCTAGCCTCTGTGCCATGCTGTACATTTATTTGGCATTGCTTTCATACATTAAATAATCACCTTGATTGTATGCATTACAAAACACAAAATGTTGCTTCTCTTTTTACATTTATCTCCCTGCAGCTGTAACTGTACCAGGAATGCCCTGCCCTGGCACCAGGTTCATCCAGAGAAGGTAGATAGTTTTTTTTTTTTCCCCCATAATAGTTCATCTACCAGATGAGTTAGGATCTCTGGTTTACACTCCAGGCATTTTATGCCTGTGATGGAAGAAATTGTTATATCCAACTGCAGTGATTGTTAAAATGCATCAGATCTCTGCCTGGACAGTGAGGGGAAGGGAACTTGATTCCATTTTGTTTCTGAGACTCCACCTCATTTTCCTAAATAGCTGGGGCTGATGGAAGGAATAAGCAGACCTCACATCACAAATCAGGGGAGATTTGCAGGAGTTCTTCCTACCTGAAAAAATGTTCAGGTTTGTAAAGTTCGAAGAAGAATGATGCAGAATTGCTCCGTTTGGTCTTCTCACTACATACACAGGCTTGAATTGGATGGGGAATTTCTCTCTGTGTTTTTTTGTTTGTTTGTTTGTTTTGGGGTTTTTTGTTGTTTTTTTTTTCAGAAAAAGCTCAAAAACCCACAGTCATTAAAACAATAAGAAGGAAAGAGTCAGTTCTGACAGATAATTCATTATTAAACTTTTGCAAACCAGGAGCCTAAATGCCTAATTCATTATTAAACTTTTGCAAACCAGGAGCTTTCTTGCATTTCTGAATCAATTCTGGCTTTACATGTCAGCTTTCTCCCATCGTGGATATTTAATTTTGACCATAAGATAAAACCCAAACTTGGCATAAAACACTTCAGGGGCTTGTATATATTTAAGACAATATATTTTTTATTTTGTTTTATTTTTAAATTTTAGACATTTTCACCCTGATTCATAATGGGGGAAATTATCTCCATGTAAGAAATATTCACATGCCCTGGTCCAGGACCAGCTGCACCTTGATCAGCTGCACCACACAGAGGCAGATGAGGATGATACCGAACAGACATCCCTAGCAACTGATGGAGATACAGATGTCTCCTCTCCCAGTTTGCTTTCTGAGATATGCTGGCCTCATAGTGATGTCCATGGTTTTAATAGTGTGTCAAATGCTCCATCTGGGAAGTTCCCAGTGGCTGCTCCAAGCCTGCTGTGAGGATGTCAGGGATATGACAGGGGATGAAGGAGTCAGACACAAGTGTTGGTCGAGATCTGTGAAGTCAGTGAATGTTAAAAAGAATTTTTGTACCGAGGCACAGGAAGAATTTCCTTCTGTGGCTCAGTGGGGAAGGTCTTGTCTCTCTCCAGAGGATGATGGCAAATCTAGTGCTGGATCAAGTGAGCTTATCTCCTGCGCTCCCTGTTCCCACCTTGCAGAAGCAGGGCATAAATCCACCTCTTTTGACCTTCCTGTGATGGATGCAGTGGTATCCATCGTGACCCACGGTAAGGCTATATCTGTCCTGATCCAAGCTGATATTGCCCTTTCCATCCCCATGGTATATGGGCAGAGAACATGTGCCTGTCTTACCTAGGATGGTACAAGAGTGACTGTTCTCTGCCTGAAACACCCACTGACATAAATTGCAGTTTCATGGGCATCTCTTATTACTCAAAGAAGAGCTGAAGTCCAGATCTGGTCTCATTGCCAATTACCACCCTTGTTTGCTGCATCAGCTCACTCTAGACTGGCACCAGGGAACAATATCAGAAGAAACTGTTAATTCAATTTGCAGTTGCTCTGCTCTGGAAAAGCAATCCATAGCCTACAAATGCACTAAGGTTAGCAGGAGACATTAAAAATAAAGGTAATATAGTTTTTTTTAGGAGGAGGAGCAGAAAAATTAAAGCTTTTTTTCTGGTATCCCTGGTTTGGGTGATAGGCTACAGAAAATGGAAGCTGGAACTTTCAAAGGATCTTTTTGGAAACAGTAAGTGTACGTTAGTGGTTTTAATTTAATCAGACTCCTTTGAAAGCGACAGCCAAAAACCTACTTCCTACGAATACATTTGGTTTTGGCAAAGTGGAGAATTCTTGGTCATGGGGGCTGATTCGACAAAGTAAAGAAAACTAAAGCAGGAGAGAAACTCCCAAAACTGAAATGTTTGACACAACAGAAATTTTTTAAGGAAGATGCTCCATTTTCCTTGGAAGCTGGCGCAGTTGATGAGCTTGTCCCGCCTGGAGGTCTGCTCTTCCTACAGCTTTATGAGGGATAAAACACCATTTCCCATCAAACTCGGCTATTCTTACATCCCTATTTGCAGGAGTTAGTTTTTCAAGAGGCATTATTGGAGTGGAAAACACTTTTTCCCTCCATGTTTAAAGGGGTAATTTGACCCCTGTCTTCTGCCCTGGTATGAAGCAAAGTGGGAGTGAGAGAGGCCGTAGGCTATGGGTCTACACTTCATGGTTAAATCAGGTATGGACCAGCTGATCATCTGCAGTGAATTAGCACAGCGCTGCCCTGTGTGTTAGTGTTATAGACCTGGCTGACACCTTCGGGATTCAAACCTACCACCTGCCACACTCAGTTTGGATTTTTTGGTCCTGGGCGATATTAGAGATTAGATCTGGATATCATCCCTCCCTAATGCTTGGGATAACAACAGTGAGTTCAAAGGATTTATTTGGTTTGGAAAAAAAAAAAACCAAAACAAAACAAAACCACAACGTGATTTGAGCTGGCAGAAACATTGCTTCTCAACAAGGAAAACCACCCTTGGTTGAATGATGGGTCATTTCAATGAAATGGGGCTGAAACTTCACTGAAATAATTTTGAAGCTGGTGAATTTTGGTTACTTGTAAACCCTACATTTTTGGCAACTTTATCTATTCCCCCTCAGCTCCAGCAAATACAAAGAGAATATAAAGCCCTTGCTTATCACCTGCTCTGCCTCCAGCATTTCAGCATTTCTCACTTGTTACATTTTCACTTGCAGTTACAGTTTCTGAAGCTGCAGGGCTTGAGGGTAGAATTTGGTGATCAGAGCTTTTTTCTAGACACAGCTTGCATTAATCAAGTTTTTGTCAAAGAACCATATAATTCATGGTGTATGAACACACCAGGAGTTCATACAAAGGTTTTTTTTATTCCCTACTGTCAAAGTTAGACCAAAATGTTCTCCAAAAAGAAAACTTCATAATTTGTAAATAGAGGAATTTACACTTCACTGAAGATCAAAGAGGAAACAATCTAGATTAAAAATAATCCTGTGAATTTGTCTTTCATTTTCCTCCTCAGCCAGCAGCATTTGGCTAATATTTTATCCTCTGTCTTTGCACAAGTGCTATAAAAAAGTAAATGAAAAATGCTTGCCTTATAGGAAGTGCTTAAACAGGAAATTCATCTTCATATCATTTCTCAGCTGATAGAAAATTAGCTTTAGCAGAGAAGGGAGAAGTGAAGCAGTGAAGTGCACAATTGTTTCTCTTCATCATAAACACCTTTAGGATGCTGACCCAAGAAGAGCAACTAGCTACGAGCTGAGGTCGGGAGGATGGCTGATTTGTAACTTTGATTCTAGCTACTAAAATTGAGAAGTAAGAGGGAATAAAATCAAAAGAGGTCACAGTTCTGTAACACTGACAGTAACACGCAGGTGATGGGTGCTGTCAACATTATAAACTATATACAAGACAAAGCAGGACTCGTTCTTTTCCCAAAGAATGCAACAGCAACAAAAAACAGGTGTATATAACACAGGTGGCACATTATCGCAGGGATGAGGACAGGGGGCTTCTCCTGAATGTTACAGGCTTAACTGATGACAGTCCAGAGGACAGTTCATCTGTCTAAATATATATCCTCTCCCCCTTCCTCAAATATTTAGCGAAGACCAGGCCAGTAGCAATGTCTGATGCAATTGTGGTGCTAAGAAGATGTTAATAAATGCAAAGTTTTCCCGGAAAGGGAGCACCTTACTCCAGGAATAGATGACGGTGGGTGAGGGTTCAAGGAGTGACATGACTAGTGCCAACCTCTGCTGCATCTTCTTAGGGGCAGTGGTAGCTCATCTGGCAGTCAGTTGGGTAGGGTGTCAAGCCCAAGGGACGCCGCATGCTGCTTTGCCCGGAGCCTTAGGTTCTCAATACTCGTCGTTTTACTGTTTAGGCTTGGAAGGGAGCTGGAGGCCTGCAGGATGGGTGAGGACCAGACCTGCTGAGCGTGGGAGAGTGACTGGTAATACGACTGACAGTGCAGAGAGCTCAGTGGTGCCATGTTGACGTTCATGCCCAAGTAGGGCATGGCAGATGGTGTCCCCATTTCGAAGGAGGAATAATGGACCAAGTTGTTGGTGGCTGCCATGTGCTGGCGGAATTGCTCCTGCAGGCGGAAGAGGCTCAGGGGCGAGGAGGAGTAGGAGTGAGTCTGAGCCAGGCCACTGCTGGATGAAGGTGTCACAGTTGCGCTGATAGGGGACTCTGTAGCAGGAGACAGAGGGGATGGGGTTATTTCTACAGGCTGGATGCAGGTGCTGATCTGCACCCCAGTAGGGTTCAGACTGCAGCGTGGGCTTCTCTCTTGCATCACGAGGGCAAACAAGAGGGGTTGTGTTAGCTCAGGAGAGCTAAACACATGCTTGTTCCATACTTAGAATCTTACAGCATAGAAATGGGGCTGACTTCTTTTCTATGGCTTTCCTGATGCTGCTGGGCACTGTCCTCCCCAAGCTCTAACCTCAGCAGGTCTTTCCTCTTTCTGTGCTCCTGCTACAATAGAGATCAGGCCCTCTGTGAGTCCCATTTAGTGCTGGGGATAAGAAGACAGGTCTGTGCAGCCTAGCTGTAAGCACCCATGCCATAGGGAATAAGGAACGATACCCAACCACCAGCATCCCCCTTGGAAATGCCAGGTCCTGACACCAACCCCCATCAAGGTGCTGCTCCTCACCTGCTTTTGGGCTTGCTCTCTTGCAGTTCAAAGCCTTGCTGTCCACACCAGGGCTCTTGTCCACTTTAGCCTCATCCAAGGTGCTCTTAAACTCCTCTTCTCTGTCAGTCTGATCCTCGGGTGCTGACTCGCTGGCCGACTGCTCCGACAGGGTTAGGTTGATGTCTGCGCCTACCTCGCTTGGGAGGCTCTGTGACTTCTCGGTGTCCGGGGTGGTGGCCTGGGTCTCCAGCATGGGTGGCTCTGTCTTTCCCTCACTGTGGCTCCCTTCACAGTCCTTCTGCTTCTGCAGCTGCTCCTTCTGCAGGCTACGCTGCTTCTTTCGGAATTTGGCTCTTCGATTCTTGAACCAAACCTTCAATGCCACAAACAGCAAGGGGGAAAACTGGTGAGAATCCTGCTTAGTGCCAAATTCAGCATCATTCAGCCTGGGAGTTTCAGGGGAACCCCAAGTAATGAGGTACTGCAAGCCCACGGTGACCAAATGTCGTTCCACTTTATCGGATCTTAGAGCTCTACCTGTTTTCAGTGCTTCTGTAAATAGCACAACAAATATGTTTTTTAAAATATCTAGCCTTTATGTTGATTCTTTAAGCCACTCCACTGGTGGTATTCTTTGGTTTGGTTTTGCTTTTTTTCTAAATTGGTTAGGCAGTTGTGTCCAACCAGAACGTCTTATAGCTGAGTCTGATGACATTACATTGGCTTACAGTACAGTGCTCTGTTTCTAAAACAACTTGGTTGTAAGTGTATCAAAAATATGGTGGCAACACTCAAAATAAGTAATTACAGGCATAAGCTGTTATATGGGAACTGAATTTAGGGAAGGATAAGAGAATCCATATTTTTTAAACCTAAATCCATAGATATGTATTGGAAAAAAATTATTTGCAAATCTAGTTAGTGTTTGATTGGTCACATGAGGAAACAAAAATTTTGAAGATCAAAATATCTTGACATTTCTATAAAACAACTATTTTTTTTTTCTACTACTTATCCACTTCACACTAAATAACTTGATATTTAGTCTTTTAAATCCCAGCAATGCAAGCACCTCCCGATCAGCAGGTTATGAAGCATGCTGCGCTAGTTGAAACTTAAAAAAAAAACAAACCCAAACCTTGGACTGAGATGTTACAAATGTTGACACTGGTGGAAAAGAGCAGCTGGAATTACTTGGGTTTCTGCTCTTCTAAGAAAGCCAGAAAAGCCTTGCAAATAAATAAATAAGTAGACTTCTGTTGATGTTTCTAAAATTTCCCCCAAAGAAATGTGAAAGAACAAATGAAAACCAGTGTAGACTTCAGACAATCTTAAATTTAAAAAATGTGTGTGTGTGGATTAAGAATTTCTTTAGCAGATGTGTGACTTCAGATGATTTTATTCCCCCACCCCTGCTTTTGACAACTTTACTGACCCAAAATCTTTGGTTACACTGGAAGAATCTTGAAAGGTCAAGAGAGCTGTCAACCTTCTGGGAACCCCACTATATTCTTTTAAACATCCCCGCCCACAAACCCACAAAATATCCGTACCTGGACTCTGGCTTCAGGTAGGTTTGTGCACATAGCCAGCCGCTCTCTCATCACCACATCTGGGTAGTGAGTCTTCTGGAAGGTCTTCTCCAGCGCTTCCAGCTGTTGGGCGGTGAAGGCCGTGCGACTTCGCCTTTGTTTGCGGTGCTGGGATCCATAACGTGCCTCCAAAATAATGTCTTGAAATGTACAGCCGTTGGAAGACAAGAAAAGTGGCCAATTTAATTATTGGAATTTGTATGCTGACAGTTGAATAAAGCACTTGCTAACACCAGACGAACATATAAAACATTTTTTTTCACAGCTCTAGATCTAAGAAAACACCACAAAAGCATTTTGTCAGTTAACTGAAGTGTCCAGTTTCTTATGGACCTCAGAGTAGAAAGCCTGTTCTGGAGAGGGAACCTCTTTCTCTGACAGCTGTGGAAACCGCTGAGACTCCGGTGCTAAATGTGTTTGCAATAAGGCAGTCTGCTCCAACATCAGTGGGGCAGGACATGCAGATGCCCAAACCCCACTGCGGCATAAGCCTCTTTCATTAAGAAACACAATTAAAAACAAGGTGGGAAGATTCACTGTTGTAATCAGGAGAAGGGCCCAACATTATGTGTCATGTTCTCCTTGAAGCCAAGGGCAGAGCTCTGGAAGGCTTTAAAGCTTCCACGATGCACTGCACTGACTGGATGGAAGAGTCCATGCAGCTCAAACACAGCTGCCTCTAGCCCGTTTTGCTGGCCGCAGCTGCATGAGAAGACATGCATCTTCTCAGAAACCAGGCTGAGCTGGCTTTTCTTTAGCATCTCGTATGTAGCTCACTGTAGTCTTCAAGGCATGATACTGGAGAGCTGTTCTGGGCTCTGGTTCAGGAAAGCACTTAACCTCATGTGCTTATGTGTGTTTCGCTTGAAAGCACGTGCTTTACTGAGCGTGGACACTCTCCAGCATGTGGGGTGGAAACGCCAGCCAGGACCAAGCCCAGCCCCACTGATTACAAGCCCAGAGCTCATGTGCTGAGCTCTTCTCAGTAGAGGAGCTACGCACAAGGTCTGATTTTGCTAACTGTGCTTGCAAAATTGAAGGCAGAGGAGAAATTCAGACTGAGGAAAATCTGAGGCCAACAGTAAAGGGCTTATTATTTTACCAGAGGCGTTATTATTGCACAACAGTTAGTGGAAGCAGAAAGATCTTAAATCAATGAAAATAAGTTACTTTACAATGAAAAAACATACCCTTTATTATGCAAGTTGGGACATGCTGTGCTACAGCGTTGGAATGAAGTATTCTGGCGAGAGGTTTGCTCTCAAAGAGGAAATGCAGAAAGAGCAGTGTCTGGTATCATTTTTAATTCAGTTAAGAATGTAACTTCCAGTAGAAGGGAGGTATTAACACACTAGAAAACAATCTAACAGAGAAAAGTCAGTATTATCAGCACGTGGAGCCAGATGAAGGCTCTTGCTGCTGTTTATTTGTGATTTTGTCACGAGCATCGTGGCATGAATCTAAACAACAAAAAAAATCCGCTGTCAGGCCAGCCCCAGAACCACACAGCCAGGTTCAAAAGACGTTGGCTAACGAGCGTAGCAAATCAGCTTTGCACTGCTCAAACATTCCTCTTCCAAACTTCCAGCTGTTTCATTCTAGGTCAGCATTTTCTGTGCCTTTCTGGGCGATTGCCAAAGCCGCATGGTTTTGGCAACCTGGAAAAGACGTGATCGGGCTAAAGGTCTTTGGCCAAATACAATATAGTGTTGGTTGCATACAAGAGGCTTTTGTGTTTGAGGTATCAGAGCTCCTCGGGGCGTTAAAACAATGGTAAAGGATGCTGCTTTGGAGGCAAAGAGACTGTCCTTGATGCATCCAGACACAGCTCACAGTGCAGCCAGGCAAGGAGAAGGGATGTACCAGTACGAGAAACTGAAGGTATCCCAAAACATTTTACAAAGCTAACGTTTGTGTTTCAAGTACAAGAAATCAGGAGAAAGGACACTGGTTAAACACCCTACCTGCAGGCTGGAATACTTCCGAATTTGTAGAGTGGAGGTTAGACCTACCAGCTCCCTGGAGGCGGCAGCTCATGCATTAAGTTTGGCCACTCCAACGAGAGCCAACCAGCAATTATTTTAATGTTTTAACTATGTTTCCAGGCTTTGTGCAAGAAGGAGAATATAAATTGCAGGTGAGGCTTTGCAGTTACAATCAGAAACCTCTGTTTTCTGACTTAAGGTCATTTGCTTTTGTGCTGCTTTATTCTAGCTGTCCCTGGAAGCCAAATGAGATCTATAACCTGCACTGAAAGATATTCAGAAGTAACAGAATGTGAAGCGACTGCAAAGGAACTAGCTCATAGGTATAATGCCTACCCCACCAAAGATAAGCAGACAAGGCGACCGTGGGATTTAATTTGGAAAGTCTTCCAGGGGGTTATTAATTTTAAAGATAAGAGGTCAGAAACCCAATTGAATCTCCCAGTCAAGAATATAAGAATAGGGGGTTTATTACTTTATTTTTTTAATCTCCCTCTGCTTTTACCCTAGTCAGGGTCAAAGACATTAAGCCCTCCATACTCTACTGTAAAAGATACAGGTAATCACAAAAATCTTTCAAGAGATCCTTGCATCTAGGAATGGGGCACCTTGAGACCCAAGGCCCACAAGGCACATTGCAGAGTTCAGGACCATCTGCACCCATCTGATCACCTACATGCTGAAAGAGTGAGGGAAGGAGGGGATGGATGACCAAGACAAAGAAAGTGCCCACCTGACATCACTCTGCAGCCCAGCAATAGAGCCAGGATTAGAGTCCAGGTCTCTTTGATCTTACTCTGGTTCTTTTTTGATGAGGACAGTGACTCACAGCTCTGCCCTATGGCCCCCAGAGATCCCACAGGCCACAGTGAGTGGTCTGAGGAACAGGTCACTACCAGCAGCTGGGTAAGGGAACATTGCTGGCGTGAAGATGTGAGAGTCAGCTGTGGTTCACTGATCCAAACAATCTGAGACCTGTACCACCATGCCTTTGTGGACACCACCTAGCAGGACCATCCTGAAACTTCTGCATCCTTATTTTGGCTTAAGCCCATGTGTCTTAAATTTATTCCACTAAAGTTGTCTGGGTAGAGAATTTTTTCCACCTACTCTAGGCTGGAAGGAGTCACACTATTTTTTTTTTTTTCCTTTAGTATCAGACAACTAGAAAGCTATCTTAAAGCAGATGTGTAACTTTCAGACAGTCAGGGAAAATTTTTCCATTCTGGAAGGTCTCTAGAATCACATCTACAGTAACTTTTTGCTTTAGCTTCAGTATACTGGTTGTTAGGTCTGCTCTACCACACTCTATCCAAGCCCTGACCAAAATGGTGATGTTGCAGCTGTTGACCATTTGCATTTCAGCAGACTGAAATGATTTTAGCCAGATCTGGGTGTTTTGTGGTAGGCTGATATGTAGACCAGATATATTTGTTCTACCATACCAAATATTCTCAGGTGTCCATCAATTTTTTTTTGAACAATTCCCTCTACCAAATCCTAAAATACTATCTGGACTTTGCATTTCCATCTAATGACAGTACTGATGTAGTGCTATTACACTCATGGCTGAACACACTGAAACAGATCAGATGCTTTGGAGCAGCGGCTCCTGTCCCACTGTCCCACCATCAACAGTGCTGTGTAAAGAACACTCTTTGGGTAAAGTCACATGTGACTTTCTTTGAGTCTAAAAATACAAAATTTTGCCCCTGGAGGGCAAAATACAAAAACAGCAGAGGGAGCCAGCAGGACCTGCAAGAAAATACCACCCAAGCCAAGGTCTAGGATCTCCGGGAGGAAATAGGTCAAGGTGAGACCCAAAGGAGATCCAAATGAAGATTGTTTTCCAAAGAGAAAGAGTATTTGGTAGGACAAGAAATGGAAAATAGTTGCAAGAAGGGACAACATGGAGGAACAAGCTATGACCTGGTGTGGCAGGAGATGGCTGTTAGAGGATGCAAGTCCTGGGCCCCTCGGTGGGGGAATCCAATTCACTGTGTGCTCATATTCATGGTGCTGTTAGTTACTAAAAGGAAAGTTAAATTTTCTGCTATTTTTTGGTCACTTGTTAAAACATATTTGAGTGCCTATTTAATTGTCTTTTTTCAATCCCATATAGTAGGGCTGCTTCCCTTCTCACCCCTGGGCTCCCCAGCCATCGGAGACCAGTCTGCAGCAAGGTGCAGTGGTTCACTGGCAGCAAACACTGAGGGACACATGTCTCCTGCAGGGCTTGGCCACATGGCCAGTATTCAGGAGCACACCATGCCAGTTGGCTATGTCACACTCCAGCTCCCGAAGAAGAGTTTCACTCAGTGCAAGAAACAAGAGGGTTTTTTTTCCAGGGAAGAACAAAAGCCATGAGTTGTTCTTACCAGCCAGTCTCTCTGCCAGGGTGAGGGCATGCACCGAGGGCCTGTAGTCAGGGGCGTGCTGGGCTTGCTGAGCTGCCTGCTGATGGAGGTTGTACATGGCGCTCAGTGAGTTCATGGCATGGAGGGAGTAACCGTTCACTCCATAGTGCTGCATGGTGACATAAACCTGAAAAACAGCAGCCAGAGGAGAAAGAAGCTTAGAAATGTGCTATTCCAGCATTCTGGTGTCTCAGCAGAGCTTTGGAAATGTTGAGCTCAAACTTACACTGCTGCATGCAAGGCTCACTTCCAACCCTGCTACTCCAACAAGTTCTGGGACGGGAATCAAAATACCTCCTGTAGACCTAAAGCACCAGCAACACCAGTCTGGCTTCCAAGCTTAGAGACCAGCATCTGATTATATTTCACTCATGATATGCTGAACAAAAGATGGGAAAGGATTTTTTTTACATACCATAATAAAATTTATCATACTATTGTGACTTTTAATGAACTGACATAGCTCTATCCCAGGACTAGCTGGGATTTTGTCCCTATCATTGGTTGTTCTGTAATCGCATTGCTATAATGTCAAATAATCTTTCTTATCTGAACCCACTCATGAATAATTTGTTTCCATTAATTTTTCTCGAGGTTCTTCTTAACAAAACATGAATGATACAGGGGAAAAAAAAAAAAAAAAGCATGTGGTGTAAAAGAAAATAAATCTGCAGTGTAATAGGACCAAAAACATTATGGCTAAAGAGGGAATTAAGGTTTGCAATAAATACTGACATTTCATAGATCAATAGCAAGGAAATTATTTTTAAAACTAATGGCTTTTTTTCTACTGTGGTCTCTGCATGAAACTTCAAGCTGTTTTTCCTTACAGACCATCTGTAAAACTGAACTAATATTGATCACAAAAGCTGAGCGATGCTTCATTCATCCCTGTTATAAATGACTGAAGGCCTCCAGGATGCTGTTTCTGTAGTTTGTAAGACATCAGAAAGGAAGTCATGAAACATTTGCCACAAAAGAAAATTTTTAAAGCATTGCTTACATCAGCCAGGCATCATCTGGCAAGTCAGTGCAATGAATGAACATTCAGAGAAAGAGGTCCAGACGGACTAACTTAAGGAAAGCAGGTTTTCTAGGCAACCTCTCAGAAAATAGTTTGATCACTGAAGGGAGGTGGTTCAACTACCATAATTTTAGGAGAAATCTGATGCACTGAACAGCCAAAATTTGGATGAACAATTATCTGCTGTTTTTTTCTGTACAAAGACCTTCATTTTTGCCTGTAGAGGATTTATACCATAGAGGACAGACTCTCATTGAAATGAGAGAATGGAAATGAGTTGGTCTCACTACCTCTCCTTCTCTGAATTCCCATTCTCTCCCAAACAACCTTGATACAGGAGGCATAAACATGGAGTGACCTTGTTTAGCATCCAGAGACCAAGCTGTAGTTCCTGGGAAAAGCAGCTGAATTTTGTACTACAGGGTCTGACAGTGACCTGAGGCATCTTGTGGCTTCACTCTCGCAAGCATCCCTCCATCACAGTACCCAGGAGTGGAGGAGGGAAGCCATGAAGTTGGAGTTTTTTTCCAAGCACTCTGAGAGCTCAGGGAATGTACTTGTTGCTCTGGGATGGTGTTTTTGATGGAGGGGTTTTGTCATGAGTGTGAGTGCTGCCTTTGGGATTGCCTTCCCAAAGAGCTGCAGTAATTATAAACCAATAACCTGGAAATCTAGTACTCAGCCTCATTCCTGATTCTCCAAGTCCCTTCTGCTCTGCCACCACATCATTTCACTAACAAGAGTGCTGGTGGGGGGAAACATCCAGGTATGGTTACACCATGAAGATCTGATACACACCTGATGCCACCTTCATCTGCTTTGTGTCTCCCTGTTCACCCACTCTGGATTCACTCCCCAGTTCTTTAGTTTTAGACTCAAAAAAAGATCAGTGGCTATCCAGCACCTACACAGAATCATAGAATATCTCAAGTTAGAAGGGACCCACATGCCACCCCACTCTGTGTAATGCCAGCCACATCCTTACGGCCCACGGAGAACGGTACTGGTCACATTCTTTGCTATCACATCCTACATAAGAGTATAAGAAAAAAAAAAAACCAACAGCCTACCTCCTACTTCAAAGTACAGACAGACAATTTTTATATGAATAGCTGATTTATGGAAAAATACATATAAAGGTGCCTGAGACTTATTTTGCAGCTAATTCTGGAAAGCAGGGGAAAATCAGATCTGCTTTGTTTTATGGTACTCAGGCAATTACTTTTGAATTCATCTTCAAAATGTTTCATTTCAAAATTTACCCTAGGTTTTATAAAGCAAAGATAAACCCAAACCAAAATAATAACCTTCATCTATTAGGTTGGTTTTATTCATTCTAACAGGAGAGAAAGCCAACGCTATTCTCGGCTGAACCACTGTTAAAATGGGTATTTTTGGTTCAGATGTTAACCTAAACACAAGAATGCCATAGCTCTGCTCTGATTGAGCTTAAGGAAGATCTAAGCAATGCCAAAATTGTTTGCTGGTTCTCTGATCAATGTGAGGGACTTCACATGCCAGCAGATTTTTGGCATTTGTATTTCCCCCACCATGGGTTCACAGCGAAACTGCAGCAGGGATGTTGCTTTTCCGGACTGCACAGCTTTGCTGCTGCTGGCACATGCTAAGGGACAGGAGCACATCCCAGTGACATGTGCCACTGATGTGACTACAGAAGACATCTCACACCACCTGGGAACGACCTGCAGGTCCCTGACCCAGCTACTACCCCGGACGGTTCCAACGGCATCTGTGGCACAGCCTCACCCCATCCTTGGTTTGTTTCTGAAGAGCATCATCCCAGCCCAGGCTGCGGCAGATCAGCACCCAGCATATGCACCAGGCTGGCTCCGCAGGCAGCAGTGCTCAGCTGGTCCCCATTGTCAGAGAGACTGCTGCAGCCCACCAGAGAGTCATCGTTTTTCACTTTCACAGTCCAAAAGTGGGACTGGCTTTTCTGGCCAATGCAGGCAGCAAAACAGAGGTTTGCAACTTCATTTTGCCTTCTCCCTTCCTACCCCCTAAACTTGTGAACCAGCTGGCAGGTTCCACCAGCTTTGGCCAGCACGGTGGAGGTCTCAAAGCCTATTAAGCTCCTGCGTGTTTCGTGTAAACCATTTGAGGACACAGAACCTATTAACTGCCCTGGGCTGCTGCCAGACCTCTGTCCGTAATAGACGCTGGAGAATCCACACCGGGGCTCAGCCTTGCCAAGAGATACGTGGGAGGCCAAATGTCTTTGACTCCCAAGTCACAGAAATGCCTGTTTCTTTTCTAATCCCTCTTGCAGGACATTGGTTGTGTACCAAGCTGGCACATTAGGAAAAAATGAAAAGGGGGGGGGGGGCGGATTTTCCCATACTATAGAGTCTTCTGAGGGCACTGCCAGTGATGTTGTGTCTGCAGCCCAGTGTTTCCACTGAAACACTTGCTCCAGGAAGATTTCAGTTTATTTGATTGTTAAAAGATGCTTTTGTGTGTATATGTGTGTCTGGGTGGCCTAGAAGAAAGTGCATCAAATAAAAAAATAAAAGGCAGGGGACTTAATAATGAAGGACTCAGGACAGGAGTCAACACCCATTGCAGTTTTAGTGATACCTGTCTGGTGTGCCGTGGTGCAGATGGCAGAGAGAACTTCCTACTCACTTGTGCAGCAAATGCGTCATCCCAGATTCAGTATAAAAAATGAGGGAATTTACAGAGCGAGACTGTTCAGCCTAATAAGCAAAGTTAACTGAGACCACAAACAGCTCCTGTTTAACTGTCAGCTCTGAGCACACTTCAACCCCAATAAATTAAATATTTAAAAGACATCATGCAGCAATTTTTTTTAATGGAGAAAGCCATTCATCAAACTACTGCTGTGTTTCACAAGCTGTCGAATAGTGCTTACACTGGTTAAAATAATCTTTATATTTCATTAAGCAACCAAATAAGCTGATCCCTTCCCACTGGCTGTATAGATGGTTTTAATTTTCAAAATCTGCAAATGCATCTTTTATGTCTCTGGGTGGCTGGAGGGCCTCAGGAACAGCCGCAGCCGGGAGAAAGATGAGAGCAAAGTTTGAACTCCTGCTTTGTGGAAGGGTACAGGCTTGAGCAGTCGTCAATACAGCTGGGAGAGTAACACAGGGTCCATCCTGAAAGAGAGGGGAGGCCTCACCCTGATTTTGTTCATCAGAGAGCATTAAACAGTTGAGCAATGCAGAAAGGAGATGGGAGCTGAGGAATGATGCAGGAAAGCAATAGGTGAGAAGAAAATCTCTCCACGGGGTGAGGCTAGCCTGCATTTGCCCCCATCGAGAGCCTGTGGGCTGATTCTGCAGTGTTTGCTCAGCACAGGGGGATGGAAGCCTCCATGCAGTGCCTGGGCTGTGGTTTCCTTCTGCATGGCCCCTCAAGGCCCCACTGGTGACTCTCTCATCTCCAGCAACAAGAGACTTGCTCCCTCCCAGCTACCCGCATTTCACAGCACTAGGCTGTGAGGTCTCCATGCCATGCCCTGTGCCAGACCCTGCTGGGGTTCCTGCTCCTTTTGCCTTCGAAATCCTGACATTATTACCTCAGTCCCCAAAACTCTCCTACGGATTTTATCTCGTTTCAGTTTTCACCATGGAAGTTGCATGGGTGCTGTACCCATTTTTCTTCCCAAGCCTGCAAACCCCTCAGGCTGCCGGGGGCTGTGTCCTGCCAGGATCCAGCCTCACAGAGGGGACCAGAGGTTCCCCTTAGCTTTAACTGCTGCTGGCTATGAGAACTCCAGTTTTCTTCGTCCTCTGCATTACTTAGAGGCCAGGTGACGTAGGTCTCTGCCCATCCCAGACTAATGCAGTGAGCAGACCACCCCTTATTCAGCTGCTGCTGTTCAATCTGACTCAAAACGATTTGCACTTTTACACCCTGTGAATGGGAACCCTGTCATCCTGGAGCACAGCTGCACTGCTCCAGCTGCAACATGGCTTACATCCGCCCCTTCCCAACATTGGCCTCAAAAACCTCAGGTTCCCATAAAGTCATATCACACATGAGTGGTGAAATTTATTGTACATCACTTCACAGTGTAGCATATAGGAAAAATTTGGCCCTGGGCTTCAATATTATCAGCT